ATCTATATTCTATTCAAAATTTTGTTTGAAATGAATCGCGCTTTATTTGAACGAACTATGTTTTTTTTCTGCGTGATTTAGATTGGCCCCGCCTTTATTTAACGAGCACCAATCATGTTAGACAGTCCGAATGACTGAAGGAACAATCATGTACCCATCATTTCAAATTGTACATTGGACAATTTTGGACCTATGATTATCTTAAATAAATGAAAGTAAATTTGGATGGATGTTTTTGTATCACATAGAAGAGCAATACGCCTTTTTAATAGAAACTAAACGATCGTATCAACCTCTGGTGGTGAATAAGAGAACGTCATTGTCGGGTGGTTTGTTTATCCATCATATGGGTATTTTTTGAATCGGGGTGACATCTACACACTTAGATTTTTTGCCGAGATGGGCACCACCGAGCAGCTCGGCATTTTATTTTGCTGGATCTCAGTGAAAAACTTGCCGAGATTCAGCTAACAAACGGGAATTTTGCCGAGATCTCAGCTAACAAACATATTTTTTGCTGAATTTCCAGCAAAATAAAATGCCGAGCTGCTCGGTGGTGCCCATCTCGGCAAAAAAATCTAAGTGTGTAGAGATCGAAAATTGATATGCGACGCAATTTTTAAATCCAAGATGGTGGCTTCCAGGTTAAGAAAAAATTTGGAAATGCTGTCAAACACTTATCAATAAAGGTATTTTTGGAATAGGGATGATTTCTAGAGGATGAAAATCGATATCCGACGCCATTGTGCAATCGAAGATGGCGGCTTCCGATTTACGAAAAAGTGGAAATACAGTCAAATACACCTCAATATTGGTATTTTTGTAATCGATATGAAGTCTACAGATCGAAAATTGATATGCGACGCCATTTATAAATCCATGATGGCGGCTTCCGATTTCAGATGAAGTGGGAAATACTGTCAAATACCCATCAATATAGGTATTTTTGGAATGAGGATGGCGTCAACTCGGGCGTCAAGAGGCCGGAAATCTATATCCGACGCCATTTTGTAATCCAAGATGGCAGCTTCCGATTTACGGAAAAATGTCAAATATCCTTAAATATGGCTATTCTCAGAATGGGGATGAAACATAGATGCTGAAAATTGATGTCACGCCGTCTTTAAATTCAAGGTTGCGGTTTTGGTTCAGAAAAACTGTGAAATGCTGTCAAATACAGATCAATGTGGGTTTTTTTTAATCGGGCTGACATCTAGAAGCCAGAAATCGATGTCTGACGCCATCTTGAAATTCAAGATGGAGGTGGAAGTGTCAGGAAGAAGTTTCAAATAACCTACAAATAGCATCGAATATCGATTTTCAGCATCTACGCGTCGTTCTCGTTCCGAAAATACCCAGATCTTAGGGTATTTGACACTTTTTGTGAAACTTGATGGCCACCATCTTGGATTCCAAAATGGCGTAGAATATCGATTTTCGGCATCTACGCGTCGTCCCCGTTCCGAAAATACCCTATTGTAGGATAGTTGACACTTTTTGAATCCTGATGGCCGCCATATTGGATTCCAACATAGCGTCGGATATCGATTTTTGGCATCTACGCGTTGTTTCCGTTCTGAAAATACCCATATCTTACACTTCATAAAACCAATGGCCACTATCTTGAATCCGAAAGTGGCGTCGGGTATCAATTTTTAGCATCTACGCAGCATTCCCGTTCCGAAAATAACCTATTGTAGCGTATTTGACACTTTTCTGAAACCCGATGGCCCGCCATTTTGGATTCCAATATAACGTCTAATATCGTTCCGAAAATACCCATATTGTAGGGTATTTGCGAGGGGGGCGACTCTATCTACGATGCAGAAAAGATTGTGTTTTGTTGTTGCTAGCTGCGCGTACGCTGAGTAGATAGAAGGAAGATTTATGTCGATTTTGAAGATTTCCTGCAAAAATTTGAAGCACGATGCAAGTAGATGCGCAAAATGATAGATGATTTTTCGAAGATTGATTCGCTAGTGTGAGATTTTTTGAGCATCTAGAATTGAGATTTAGATGTGTCGCCCCCCTCGGGTATTTGAGACTTTCCCTGACCTCTTTGGCTGCCAGCTTGAACTCCAGAATGGCCTTGTTAATTTAATTTTCGTTTAATATAAAATAATATATTATTATGTACTATATATAATCTGGATGCCTTCTCTATCGGCAACCGATATTGTGCGGATACTATCCGGATACTATATTTTGATGCCTGCGTCGTCAGGTCGCCCCGAATTGAAGTGAAAGTGGAAAAAACGAAGGAAGCAGTTTTCGAGTCATCCATTGCGTCAATTAATCATGTTTTGTTGTTTTTTACATCATCGACATCCAGAGGGCCAGTCACTTCGAATGTATGGGAATGGTAGGAAACCATTTGGAAATGCATGAAAATTTTCAGTTTTAATTCATTATCGTCTTTATGGGCAGTTTTAGGTGCACAAAAATTGCACGAGTACATTACTATGGTGATAAGGTAAACACTCGTTTATTTGTTTCCTTCTGTGAAAGCATGTTTAGTCACAAATCGTGGATTTTCTGATATTCTCCATACTGCAAAAATGAATTTCCTACCACTGAAGGGGCGTTATCTCTCGGATCTTCAGTATAGCTACTACTCAAATCATATAATTAATTGAAATAAGTCTTTGCTTTATATGAAATGAACTGAATCACTTGACGAACGAAACAAGTGATAGTTCAGTCATGTTTGAAAAGAGGAATGTTCATCATGACTCGATAACAAGAAACACGGTGACTTACACGAAAATGATATTGCTCGAAATGAAGCGATTCTGCGGAGAGTTCATCTTCTTTTCTTTGTTTCGAAAATGCAGAACCCTGATTGCTACTGTCAAATCGACCAATCAGAAGCTGGCTCGAAATCGCTACCCGTTTGTCAAGTCCTTAAGAGGAAGAGGTGACAATTGGCTTCTTCCTCTTTTATTTCTATCTCTACCTCTATCTTTATCTATCTCTATCTCTATCTTACGCACATGAAAAATCGGCCAATCAGGAGCTGGTTCACGTTTGACAGAAAAGTGGTTCATTTTCGCCCCCGTATTGTTACGATTGTTACCTCTTCTCTTAGGTCAAGTCCCGTCCCAGATTCTATACAGAGCTGTAAAAAGGGCCTATCTGCTTTGATCGATTTTCTTCATCGACTTTCTCTTTTGATAACCACGGCTATGCAAGCAGCAACTTGACAGTGAGCATTAATAAGGGCCTATACGCGATGATCGATTCTGTTCGTCGATTTTGTCTTTTGTTAATAACTCGCTAGATTTAACGTTTCTCGGTGCGTTTGCTGTTGCTTTTGATAGCTTATACAACCTGTTACAACTCTGCATTGAACAAATTCTAGAAAATTCTTTCGCTTAGCTGTAGCAATGCAAAGAGAAAATCGGTGAAGAGAATCGATCATCGCGTATTCGCCCTTATGCATGCTCACTGTCGAACTGTTATCGTGCTAATTTTGCTACATGCACTGATAAATTAAACTATTCCCATTTTGCTTGAAATTTAATCAATTTGACATTGAACTAAGTTAATACTCTCTTTCTAAAAATAAGCATCTGATATTAATCCCATTTCAATCATGGTTGATTATATTGAATATTATATTTTTTGAATAAATTATAATCATTTTTGATTCTATTTTAATAATTTTTGATAGAATTTTAATATTTTTCGATTATAGGGGAAATGGATGTAATGTCGGTCTAAATGTCCCTAATTTGGGCCCATACATAAACTCAGCAATCGACTAAATTTTCAATAGCGACCAAAAATATCCATTAGTACCGTCCCAATGACGCGTTCATATAGATAAAATTGATAAATAGCAGATTTTTAGCGATGGGCCCAATCTTAGATCCATAGGCCAACATTAGAGCCTATTCCCCCTATATCAGTATTGAAAAAGAATAAAATTTAATTGGCAAATCAAAGTTGGCACTCGTGGAGAATAGAAGAACTATGAGAGTGATGATGGTTGCTTGTATTTTGCAAATGGAGTATTTTATTTATATCTGGTTAATGCTACGCTAGTATAAAACTTAAGGACTGCTTAATAGACATATAATATATAAAAAAATGTCTTTTCAGATTTTTATGTGTAGACATAGATTTCAGCTTATCTACAACTGTAGCAGCAACCAGATTTAAATAAAATGCTCCGTTTGTAAAATAAAAGCATTTAAAGATTGCACTTGTATACCTCACCGTGTGAAATTTTGAAAACATCATCACTCTCATAGTTCTTCTATTCTCCACGAGTGCCAACTTTGATTTGCCAATAGTTTTCCGCTATGCCACGTGTAAAACTAAATCGGAATTGAAATGTAGCTGAAATATAATAAATCAGTTTAAAATCGACTTTCAACTAAACGACAATTCAATTATCAATATGGTAGAATAATTACGCTACATAATTGAGAATTTTCCGTCACGCTTTGACCGGGAGGAAGCTGTCAGAATTTAAACCATATTTCTAGATAGAGCTGGAACATAGAAAAAAGTTGTTGAATATTACATCCAAACTGCTGCAACCAGGTCAATACATCTGTTGTGTAATATAGCGTTGTACGATGTACATCGATTTTGCGAACAAAATTACATCCATTGATGTAATATTGTATCTGCTATTTGCTATTAGATCATTATTTCATACATCAGCTTGAATAACATTGATCGATATTACATTTTTTTTTTGCTGTGAATTAGGGCGAAACAGCTTTTGTAAACAATGACTTCTCTCGTTAATTTTTTGAAAGTCATGGCTCTCCCTGGTAAATAGACATCCCCATCGAGTAGGGGAAGACTTACCCTTCTCGATGGATATGTTGATTTACGTAGGCGTGCCTTGAATTCCTAGAAATCATCAAGAGAAGTCATTGTTTGCAAAGGTTGTCTCGCCCTAATTCCAGCTCTATCTAGATTTCTCTGACAACACTGTCCTAGGGAAAGCAGAAACTGAAATTTTGTCTCGTTTTATTCAATTTATTTTTACAGAAGGATGCCGTGCATTTTAATGGAATTCTTTAAAATTTGATTAATATTGACAATCCATACGGTCAAAAAAGTATTCGTTTTACCATGACGACAGTCGGTCAAATTAAAAGTCACTCGGAAGTAAACACAAAATTGCGGGTTACCAAACCTTGCAGACAAAATTACTTAGTTGACCGTGCAACCAGATTTACTTTTATTCTCTCCGCGCGTCTCTTATAAAACATCGTCTCCCAGTGACTTAAGAGTCTGCCGGTGGCGGAGGTGGTGGCTGCTGGTTATCATTATTGCCACCATTTTGATTGGCACCGGGAGTGCTGCCGGGTGGAACCACTCCGGTCTGCTCCATCTGTCGGATCACGTTGGCAAACACATCCGGATTTTGGCTGCTCATTTGCATCGCCAGCTGCCGACCGGTTTCTAATAGGGCATCCACGTTGTTCATGCCGCTAAGTTGACCTAGCCTGAAATGAGAGGAAAGTTGTTGAAATATCGCATTGAAATTGAAAGTTACAAAGCATTTTACATGTTCTGAATCGACGGATCGCCCATCATCCTTGTGGCCATGCTAACGAGGGCAGGGTTGTTCAAAGCAGCTGCAAAGTCGATTCCGCCGAGCTCTCCACCTCCTAGATTGGGCAATCCTCCGGCAACGCCTGCTCCAACTGGAGCAGAGCGGAGTTCCTCCAGTCTTTGCTGCGTGACACTCATGTTGTTCTTGTAGTCTTGGTTATCCGGTTCGATCCGCAAAGCATTCTGATACGCTTCCAGAGCCTGCTCGTGCTTGTTCATCTTCGAGTAAGCCAACCCGAGACGCCCGTACGCTTTGCTGTAATTCGGATCATACCGCAGTGACATGCGACAATCGTCCGCTGCACTCTGGTAATCACCCATACGACTGTAGGCTGCTGCACGGTTGCAATAGAACACCGGATTAGTTGCATCTCGGTTGATGGCTCTGAAAGAGTGTGTTCAATGTTTACCGCATCTGCACAAAATAACAGAAAAGACAAATATTTGCTCAAATTCACTACTTACTTGCTGTACGTGTTCAGCGCTTCTTGGTACTTCTCCTCCTTCATCAACCGATTTCCTTCGTTCTTCAGGTTCTCCGCTTCCTGCTTCCGTTCCGGCGAGACATTCGTGAACGTACCCTGGTAGACTTCGAACAAGTCGATATGATTCAGCGGATTTTCCTGGCTGTTATCACCTTCTTCCTGTCCAATTTCGTAGACATTTTCCAAGCACTGTATGGCCACCTCTAAGCTTTCACGGGAGTCGGAATTAATGTTCGGCTGCTCTAGTTGCCCGTTCAGGAAACGTATGAACGACCGCACGAAAAACTTTGCCTCAATATCACTCATCCTTTTGCTGTTTTTTTATGTTGCTACTGGCCAGAACGCGGAGTGGAATTTTCCGGGGTTCACTTATGGTTTGGAATAGAAACAGCAGCGATCCTCGAAGATGATCTGACACGATTTGATTGGCTGCTCTCGATGCGGTGATGATATTTTTTCTGCCTTTTAAAATGACAGACGGATCGACAGCAAGCAGCGGGGGACAGTTTTGACGGAACGACAGCTGACAGATAGCGAATTCGTTTATTATTCAGTTCCAACCTGGATCGGGTATCAAGATTGGGTCTGCTTGTTTTCTGACAAACGTCAGTTTGCTCGTTTGTTTTTAAAACCTAGCTCAGGTTGAGGTTCGCACTGACAAAAAGTTCGGTTTCGCACTGGGTTGGAACTGGTTCGAACCCCGATAATAAACGAATTCGCTAAGACTGTATGACAGAAGACGTTACAGTACTCTTCCCATAAATGGAATGAATATTTTAATTTGGGTTCTCATTATAGTACGTTCAGACTAAAGAGCCTGGATTTATAAATTCAGGCTCTTTAGTTCAGACTACAGAGTTATAACATGTTATAGCGCTATCTTGATGTTGGTTTCTGTGTTGCAATTATTTGACAACCGTTATAACATGTTATAACTCTCCAGTCTGTATTGCGTTTTACCCTGATAAAATAGTTATGGTTATTTTGCTTAACGACGTGTTCTGGGTATAATCCAAACCATTTGTGGAATGGTTCAATCATTAGTGTATGGTACTTTTTTATTAGGGTATTCCGACATCGTCTGAATAGAGTGTGTGTTTCGAGGTGTGTTTATAAAGGCCCACGCACATTAGATCCGGATCGAATGCGTTGCGGCAAAGTGACAGCAAAATCTATGGTCTAACTGTCAAATTTAAGTCAACGCAACGCAAAAGGATCTAATGTGGGTGGCACTTAAGAATCAAGTTAAGAGAAAAGCAGTGGAACTTTCTGCATAAACGCGAACCACAGACAAACAGACATAACACACGCAAGTTGTTCATCGAACACTCATTTAACGGTCAATTAAAATGTTTTTAGTTAGTAGTACCGCCACCTGTGGCACGCATAGTTACATTTGACGTTTACACACTACCACCATCTGTTCAGCATACTGTCTGTCACAGTATACTCAATATTGAAAAATATTCAATACCGAAAATGGTTAAAATTGTTTGTAATCCCTACTAAACTCTCGTATCGGGGACCGAGGGTGCAGTAGTGTGCGCCGATTAAACGTCAAAAAGCTCTATTGGCAAATCAAAGTTGGCACTCATGGAGAATAGAAGAACTATGAAAGTGATGATGGTTTCAAAATTTTCCACGAGGAAGTATACGAGTGCAATCTTTTTTCTTCTATTCTCCACGAGTGCCAACTTTGATTAGGCCTTTTTAATAGAAACTAAACGATCAATTCGACCTCTGGTGATGAATAGGAGAAGGTCAAAAAGAGTGTTGTGAGCAGAAATTTTAGCCTTGAGACATACAATGATAAATTGAACTATTCCCATTTTGCTTGAAATTTAATCGATTTGACATTAAACTCAGTTTAATCATATCGAATGATTAAAAATTAATCCTCTCTTTCTAAAAAATAAGCATCTGATATCAATCCCAGTTTAATCATGATTGATAAGATTTTAGATTATCTTTGTTTGAATAAACTTTAATCATTTTTGATTATATTTTAATAATGTTTGATTGAATTTTAATCTTTTTTGACTATATATCAGTATTGAAAAAGAATAAAATTTAATACTGGAAAGATTATTTCGATTTTAATCATGCATGACTACTGCCAAAGTAATCATGGCTCGCACTCAATAAGGCGAAGCGAGAATCTGCATACTTTTTAAGCTTTTTTGATTTAATTTATCTGTGAGTTTAGGAAGCGGGACACTTTTTTTTTACTTTTCCCGATAAATTGATTCATCTGAGATGCTCCAACATTTAATTTATAGTTGAAAAATTTAATTCTGTAACGTTTTTCACGCAGAAAAAAACATAGTTCATCCAAATAAAGCACGATTCATTTCAAACAAAATTTTGAATAGAATATAGATCAATAAAATCCATAGAGTAATTCAATAAAAATATAGAATTGAAGTAATGCCAGCAGCTTTATTGAATTAAACGTCAAGTTTTATTGATTCAAAAAAATGTTTGCTTGAATCAACCTGAAGCATTTTTTAAAGTAACGAACAATTTTAGTTGTATCGAATCATATTTTTTCATTATATCAAAATCAAATTTATTTAAATTAATAAATATTATTTTCATTATTTATTCTATTTCAATTCAGGTTTATAGCAAATTGCTAACAATACACTGTCTCGCATAAAAAGCATTGTTTTGAGTCGGAACCAAATTCAATCATTATTACGAATATGAAAACGTTAACGAACAAATGCAATCCACGAAAACAGTAAACCGAAGTAAAACAACAGATCAACTATTTATATGTACTTCCGCCCTCCGTCAATAGTTAATAACCTCTTAAGTATACTCGATTGTTTTGTTTTGCGGTAATCACTCCAACAAGTCGTCTGGTATTTGATCCGGTTTAGCTTAAAATTGCGTGTCTACTGCAATTTGTTCCGTCACCGCTGAAATTTTAATAACATTAATTAATTTGAACGATTCAACACAATTTATAAAATTATAACTTACATTTTAAGAGCAAATAACGGAGGCATAGACAGGAGGAACTTCTTATCGTTTGCCAAACTATGCCGATACAGACTGACTGTTTGAAACGTGCACTTAAAAAAATATTCAGTTAAAACAATCAAAGTAACCATTTGGATTGAATAAAATATATAATTGTTACAAACCAAATTTCGTTTATTTAAATCAATCGCATTAATGATGCATTCAATAAAATTTATAGATTTGATGTGAATGGAGTGCTATATTAATTTAAAACTTCTTCATGAACTGAAACAAACCGAGACATTGTATTGAAAAATAACAAAATATTTTATTAATTCACTACAGAGCGTTTTTTCTGCGTGTTGCAAAGATCCTGCTGGTGATCAGGAATATTTTTGTTGAGAAAAATAGAAAATTCGAAAAGTGTCTTAGTGGTTATGATCTTCCGGATTTCTCGTGTGTGAATAGTAGTTAAGGTACAAACAAGGGGTAGGTCACTCAGCACAGTGTGCCAAAAACACAGTAGGACACACCATGGCTCACTAATTTGGCACCCATGGTACATATTTTTTGTGATCTCTAAAGTAATTGGCATCACTGCATTATTTCTGCGCATGTGCAGTGAGGATGTGTCAAAATTTGATTATTGACAGACAATTTTCGGTATCCGCAACAAATAATTCGCCGGATCCTCCAACTCACCCTTACTGCTATGATCCGCAACGGAGCAACGGAAGATGCTGACATCACGACGACGGCCGGGTGGATTTAATATGAATCTTTGAAAGCCAACGCAAGAGTACAGAAACTGCCACGGAACTGGGAAGTTTATGCACTTCAGTATGACTTCCAGATGTTTCACGGATTTTGCAGCAAAACATTCACTAACATTGTCTGTTGTAGAGCTCCAGACATAGATACGCTATCCGGCACACCAACAGAACCACCAACCGGCCGAATCACCAGGAAGCATTTTAACCTCAGTCCTCGAATAAAATTTATTAAAAATGGACTAAAAACATATTAATTAAATAGCAGTAAATCATTTTTTTAATAAACTTTCTGACTTATTCGACATTGGACATACTCATCCTCATCTCCACCATCGACATCATCCAATATCGAAAGGCTGTGCAGCGACGTGGACAGTCCCGTCTGGCTGGAGCAGATATTTGCATCTACGTAGCACTTTTACGGATTGATTTCGTACGGTTAGCAGGTGACGATTTTGAGAAAATTTAACTGTGACGAATTGATTTTCTGCGTCATACATTCCGCCTCCAGTAGCTCCTGGATGGTGATCCGAGTTTTGGGATTCTTTTCAACGGATTTCCTCAACGTTCACGAATGGGTGCTCGAAGAACAACAACACGTACAGTGTCAGACAGAGAGTCCACATTTCCAGTTCAGGGCAGGAGTATCGGTTGCCTACTAACACATCCAGACTGCAGTACTCGGTTTACCCATAGAGGTAACTCTAAGACCACTGGGTCCCGAAGAAAATCATTACTATTTTTGGCTCACTCAGTACCAGAACAACGGTCCCAAGCAGTCCCAAGCTATTTCACACACCCCTGATGTTATCTGTCAAACTTTCATAGCGAATCAAAACAAACATATTGTAGTAATAGAATTTCAACTAGAATAGGGTACGTTAATCGTTTGCTTGGGACCAATAGGCTACTAAAGTGGTGAGCCAATTTAAAATCGTTAGTTTCGTATTGATTGTTGGTTTACCTACACGCAGAAAAAACTATCGCCGAAACAAAAATATTTGAGGTAAATTTAAACATAAACTCAGTTTGTTCTGGCCACAAACATAAATTAGGTTGATTTTAAACGTATTCCATGTTTGAAGCCATGTGAAATCAATGTTTAAAATAAAATTATGTTATGTTTATTTCAAAAATATTCGTGTTGAAAATAAACGTATTTATTTTTGTTTGGTTTGACAGTTTCTCATGTTTAAAATAAACATACATATTTTAAAATTATTTAAGTAGTTGAGTGCAAACGATTTGCAAAGAAATGAAAAAAAAAAAACTTTGGGCAGGGCTTCTTAATTCCTGCTCTTTTTCGGGTGCGATTAAGGGTAACCTGTGGGTATTGGGGATGCGAGGACCCGTCGGGGTGGGTGTCCAGGAGTTCCCGTTCAGGGGAACCGGTGCAAATTTGTGTTATTAGCGTCGTTTTGCCGTTTCTGTCTCGGTTTCTGCCACTGGTCCTCATACCGGTTTCTTTCTATGTTCGGTGTCGGAGGAGGATCCGGAATGGATGACCGTTTTCCTAACCGTTTACTGTTGAGGTTGAGCAAAGCTGGGGCAACTTTTTCCGAAAGTAACAAGAAGGAAATAAAAAGGCATGACACGCTAAAAACCGTTTAACCAAATCCTATATTGTGGAAATAAACATGCTTTTGAATTTAATTCAAACATAAATATTTTCGTTTTAAACATGCTTTCAATTTACTTTGAATAATT